GTGCCTTTGTCAGCTTTGACAAATAAACTCTCTAGTATGTATCTCTGCCTGGTCTCCATCTTTCATTTCTCACTCGTCTTTCATTTCTCGTCTCTTAGTTCCTCACATTCCTTTCAACTTAGTCTTGTGGTAGGTTCTGTTAGAGGAGACAAGAGCAGAAGTTCAGAGGACAGCAAGGCCACTATATTTATCTCACAGCTTCCTCTCTGCTGGGTGGCTCTACCACAAACCACTGCTGCTGCCAGATGGTCCTCTCCTAACCCCGCTCCCTGGGTTCTAGTAACCATATCTTCCCTTGCTCCTTCAGGCCTGGGTGTGTCTGTAGAATCCAGGAACTATCTTGAATTACCTGCCACCTTTTGTTGGCTTCTGCATTTTTCTCTATCCTCATCTAACCCTGCTACCAATCAGCTTTCTTTGGGGTATTACTTTAAAACTCTCTAGTCACCTACATTTCCCCTTGTGACAAGGCTGTATTCTCAATGCTGAAGTGGTTAAAATCACTCTTCAAATATTGTAAAAGTATCATATTCATCACATCCAGAGAAACAATGTAAAAACATGTAAGGTAAAAAAGCCCACATTCTCCCCCAGTGCTTGTGCCCCTTCCCATTCACCTTATTCCCCACTTCCACCTGCCTGATTGTCTGATAAGGTGCTCTACCTGGTCAGTCTCTTTCCACACCCATATCCATGATATTCAAATGCATACTAAACATCTGTGTTCATTGTGGGAAGAATTGATACTTGTTTCACTAAAATTTAAAAATGCTAAAAATTATTTTGCAACTTAATAGACATAAACCTAGATCAATACTCCATATGATATAATAGTGTCATCATATTACAAACCATAAATGTACTATAACTTATTTAACCACTTCTCTACTGGTGCACATTCATTTTTTCCAGCTGTTTTTGACAATACAAACAATGCTACAATAAACACCCTAATCCATGTATTTTTGTTGTTGTTGTTGTTGTAGTTGGACACAATACCTTTATTTTATTTATTTTTATGTGGTGCTGAGGACCAAAATCAGTGCCTTGCACATACTAAGTGAGTGCTCTACCGCTGAGCCACAACCCCACCCCCCACCATATATTCTTACTAGTATAGCAACTCAGCTAAACTCCTGAAAGTAGGATCACCATGTCATTGTAACATGTAGTTTCAGTTATAACCCCTTTACATGTCCTATCAATTTAATTCTTAAATTCATTTTATAGACTGAATATGATATATTAATTTTGAGTCTTATTTTCCCTCTTAATAATTACCATTTACTATTTACCACCTACTATTTGAATTAATTTAAGTGGCTGCATATATCCATTAACATTGTGAAGTTTCTTTATTTTTTATCAGAATTGCAGCAAGCCTCAAAGTTTACATGGGAAGAATTCCCAAAGAAGTATTTATATCTACTTCCCATGTGTGTCCAGAGAGAAATCAAAGCTTTGACAGAAGCATTAGATACAATAAAATATCACATTCATGTCTCTCAACCCTTAATTAGTTGGCATCAATTGGCATCTTTTGATAAGCATGAGAATTAGTCAAATGATCCTCAATATCAAGAAGAACTATGCCTGGGGCATGTGCTTGCCTCACCACCTCAGTGACTTCAATCAAAGGAAAAAGATCACAAGACAGTTGAAGAGCACAGGGCATCTCCCAAGTACAGTGAGCCAACTTTCATGTGATTTTCGTGGCATTAAAAGATTTTTTTTTTTTTTGGTACTGGGGATTGAACTGAGGGGACTTGACCACTGAGCCACATCCCCAGCCCTATTTTGTATTTTATTTAGAGACAGGGTCTCACTGAGTTGCTAAGTGCCTTGTCATTGCTGAGGCTGACTTTGAACTCACAATCATCCTGCCTCAGCCTCCCGAGCTGCTGAGATTACAGGCGTGTGCCACCACACCAGGCATTAAAAGATTTTATTTCAGATCAAAGATAAATAAAAGCAGCAACCAAAAAAGAAATCCCAGCACCAACCCCCAAGGACACTGCTAGGCAGGGCAGGTCATCACTATTAAAATCCCTCAAGGTTTGAGGAAACTTCATGTTTCACAAAAGCTTTGGAACATTTTACCTTTGTCTCCATCACCAAATCAAAATACTATAAAACCAATTCCAGGTATGGAAGAAGTGGTGTAGCCATGAGAAGATGAATCTGATCACCATTTATAGTTATTCTCAGTTATCACCATATTCTCACATTACTACCAGATAAGAAATTTCTGTGGGTAGCTCATAGAATGAAGAGTTAGAAAAATTACAAAACCAATAAATAGAAGGTAGCTTCTTTGGGACACATTTATGCTATTTCCTGAACAGGAAGCAATGACGTTGCCTTTACTGCTTGGTCTTGGGAGAAGTACATTGCCCTCTTGGGTAGGAACTACTCCTTGCCTGTAACACTAGAGTCTTCCAACTGGAAACAGATCTGATTACTTTTGCCAGACTTAATCTCTTACTTGAGCAGTTAATGAGAGCTTTCGATAATCTCACTGGCATCACTTGTATAAAATGCCTAGATGTTATTTCCACAGGAAATAAATGTCCACAGACCATAAACTCAATCTGGTTAATAGCTAACAAGGGAGAAAGGCAGGAGTTGGCTCCAGACAAAGGGCCCTTGCATAGTGATCCGTAAATGAGCTACACTCCCTTCTGGGCTGCAGGCTACTGTCTGAGGCCTCCCCTGGGACTGAGCAGGAGGAGAAATGGAGTGAAAGACAAAGGCAGCTAGAAGCAGGCGATTCTCCCTGCCTGAAGCCACCAGCTGTAGGAAGTGAAAGGCAGGATCTAGAATAGAAGAGGGTTCCTAGACATAAGAAAGGGAAGGTAAAAAAGAGGAAAGGGGACAAGAATGCATGCTAAAGATCAAAGGTACTATCTCAAGCTCTCCCTCCTCCATGCCTTTCAAAGATGGGCCAATAAGAGAAAGCATCTGTCTGGGTGTCCCAGGGGAAGATATTCACAAAAAGAATTTTTTATATTCACTGGGGAAAAAAAAAAAACAAAGTAGAGGGCTGGGGATATAGTTGGTAGAGTGCTTGCCACATATGTAAAAGACCCTGGGTTCAATCCCCAGCACCCAGCACCACAAAATAAGTAAGTAAATAAATAAGTAAAGGTGTATTTCCCTCTTATTCTTCTTTCCCTTTTCAAATTCTCTTTTCTTAAGGTTAGGAGCACAGGAAGTCTCCCTGGCAAGGAAACCCCATGATTCTTATGACTGATAAAATTGCTACTGAAGATCCCAAAGGAAGGCTGGGGCCAAAGCAAAGGGGCCTGCCATGAATAACTACATGGAGAGACCTCAGGAAGGTGTGACTATCCACTCAACTTGTCCCTCAGGGGGTTCACCACTGGTCACCAACAGAACCTGAATTTCCTCTGTGTGCCTCCATATGATGGACTTTAACCCGGACACAATGGAGCTTATATAGTACTTCTATATTAAAAAGGGTAATGAAATAATAATCCTAAATCAAAGGGGAATAAAAAGGTTTACTGAGCATCAATGTATTTAATGCAGTTTCTGGATGAGAAGCACACAGGATCCTAGAATTCAATGTGATTTATAAAAAAGACCCTTTGGGGTTATGGCAGCTGTTCTACACCATGACTCCAGGAGTCTCCCATTCACCTCTACAGTGTGTTTCCCTGCCAAGTATTTCCAAGTCTTCAACATTCACAGGAAGAAATAATTCTGTCACTTAGATTCTATGATATATGATATAAAATTTACAGTTCTATGCAGACTGGTTGTATTATGAAATTAGCAAGTATTACCAAACTAAGGTCAATTTATTATAAAAATAGGAGAAAAAGTATTTATCACATTTTTAAAGAAACACCCCCTCCCATCAGTGATTTGGAGATTTATGATATGTAACCAGTTCAAAATAAATAGAAAGCTTTTAAAACTCCTCTTTCCTAGATAGATATTGTATCTAAAAAATTGCAGGAGAATTTTCTCTAACCTTTAAAGATCATATATCATATTACAAGCTATTCCTTATACAAAGACATTCACCATATGCTGTTAGAGGATGCTGGAAAAGAACATATTACCCACACAATGGCACAGAGAACCTGAGCATCGGCCACGTTAGCTTAGAAAATGTAATGAGTAGAGGAGTGGCACCTCTTACTAAACTCCCCAAATTGCTTTCATGTAACATTTTAAATCACATTAAGCACATAAGACAGAAGAGCTCTTTAGTACCCTTTGCATGAGAAATAATATCACCCTAGTCATAGCAGTAACCCTTAAATAAAACATAACTTTAGAATAAGCAGTTACTTTGTGGCTTGTTTATGGAATTAAGCAAAAAACAACAAGAACAACAAAAATTGGAACCAAGTTTCTTCAAGTTAGACTGAATTCTTCCCTTCTGGTAAAAATTATTTTTGTCATACATGATGGCACTTATAACAGTGATTAAATACAAGCAAGCAAAAAGCAACCCCCTAACTACAGACAGATGAGCAACAACACAGCCTGCTTTTGTGCTTCTTCTTAGTGAATCCGTAGAAACGACTGTAGCAGATTGAGTGTCAGAATTAGGTCAAGGGGCCAATTACCCAGAGTTAGCATCTAGGGCAGGGACAAGTTACTCCTTCTCTCTGCCTCCTGTTTCCTGGAGCCCCTGTGTTAAGTAACCATGGAGGCAACTTTATAGAGTGTTCCATAAATAAATAAATAAATAAGCAAACAAACAAACAAATAAATAATAAGCACAAAGCATGAATACAGCATTGCTTCTGGAAACAACTACACCTTTTAGTCCCTAAGTCAACACCACCTTCACCCTCTCCACACAACCCTGTACAAACTCCCAGTTCTCTTGCTACCCAGACAAACTAACAGGCCTAGAAATTCTGGTCTGTTGTTAATTGGTCAATCTCTGAATGACATAAGTAGACTGATAGTTCTTGAGTTGCTCAAAGATTGGTCTAGATATCTTAAACAGGACTGACCTGGAGGCGACTGATGCTGGGCCTGAGCTGTGGTCTTGCCTGGCCCCCAGCTTTTTTCCGGAGGTTCCCCAGGCACCAAGGGAGATGGGCCTGTTCTGAAGGAGGTTGGGCTGGCTCCTTTGGTCTCCGTGACCTTAGCAGAGGAGGGTGACTCCAAGGTATCAGCAGACGGGGACACAGAGAAGACACAGCTCTTTCTATCAGGAGAGTCATTAAGAGCAGCTTCCCTCTCTCCAGGCAGTGGGGGAAGCCGGAGGATCCTGTGGTGCTGCTGGGGGCTGGTGCGCCTTGGAGGTAAAGGCGAGGGAACAGGTGATGTCCGTTTGCATGCGCTGGACTGAGGGGATGAATTATTAAATACCATACCAAGAGCGGCTGGTGCTGGGGGGGATGGCCTCTTGTCAACGTCTCTGGGTTGGGAGGAGTCAGGACCTACAACACCCTGTGGATCCAGAAGCAAGGATCTGCGGCCCCTCTGAGATAGCCCAGCCCTCCTTTTGCTTCTGGTTTCTGGGAGGGTGGAGGTGGTCCTTGTGTGGAGGGGGAAGCCCAATCTTTTCCCCTCAGTGGCTTCATCTAACTTCTCACTCTCTATCACCTTCAGGAGGACCTTGTTCACAGCCCCCTCAGCACTGGCTAGGGAACTAGAAATGGATGCTGTTTCTCTGGCCAATGACTGGGATGACTTGTCCCCTTGCTGCCCCTCACCCCACCACCTGGAACCAGGAGCCCCAACCTCAGGTCCTGGGAGCTTGAGCAAATCTGCTTTGGATATGAACTCAGCCTGGGCCTCTGGGCAAATGCCAATGCTTTCCTCTGCCTCAGGATCCATTTTAACTACTCTTTGCACCTGGGAGGACAGATCCTGGACTTTGGCCACTACTTTGGAAACAGGTTTCGTCCTACGAGTTCGCCCAGCCGATTTCCCCATTCTTCCCACCTCTGCCTCTGGACGTTTTTCAGCGTCCAGATTTCCAGGCTGACGCTCCAGCCCACCAGGACTGCTCAGTGGGCCTCCAGTGCCACCATTCCCTGCCTCTGTGGAGCTGCTGTCAGGGGGCAGTGCTCCTCTTCCAAGCCCAGTGGCCTCTGAGGCTGTCCCAGAGGTCTCGATGCCAAGGTCTGAGTCCGGTGTCCTGGGGATATCTGCAGGGCAGTGCTCTCTCCTCTGCAGGGAGGATGTAAGTGCCCTATTTGGGACCAAGTTTCCTCTTTCCTCTAGGAGCTGAAGATTAGGCCTGGCTGGAGAAAGAGGAAAGGAGTTGCTGGAACAGATCTGGTCTTTCCCCATCCAGGGAGCTGGTTCCCGGCCTCCACGCCCTTTCCTTCTTGCTCTCTTCTGTGGGAGTGCCTCAAGGCTCTCTCTCCACCCACCAAACCTCAGGGGCTGTTTGTTCCCATGGGTGCTTCTCTTACTGAGAGGGCCCACGGGCTGCTCCCCCGACCAGTCTCCTGCACTCGGGAAACAGTCATCCTCCTGGGCCAGGCTCACCGACAGCTCCAGCAGCTTCCCCTCCTGGTTCCCCGTGGAAATGCCCAGGATGTGGTCTGAGCTCAGCAGATTGGCCAGCAGTCTCTCCCTCTCTGCTGTCAGTTTGTACAGCTCAGTTAGGATGTCTTTCGTAGGAGTCTGCTTGAAAAATATGTCGCCGGGATGTTCATTGGGCTGCTGGCTGAGGCTGATGATGTCTGGCCCCTCCCTGACTTGGTAGCAGTTTTGAAAACCTTTACTGGCTCTGTCTAGAGTTACAGTGCCCTTGTATGAAAATCCTCTGATGTCCCCTCTTGGAAGATAGAAGCTGATGTAGCACAGTTCAGTAATGGGCTTGCGCAATTGGAGTGTGCAGCAAGTACCTTCCATTATGCCTACCTAATTATTCATGCCTTGGAGATGCTGGTCTGTGGTCAGGCTTCCCAGGCTCCAGTGGTGAGGCATGTGATGGTGGCAACGCAGAGAAGGCAGCTGACAGTCATCTCCAGCAACGAGACTGCCTGTTAGAGGAACAGGGGAAGAAAGCAGCTTGTCTAACAGAGTGCACAAATCACACGCCAGCATAAATCTAAGCACAACCACCGCTTACCCTTCCTCTCTGGCTGACCTCAACCAATTCAAGGCGTCTGCCAACAGCCCGACTACAGCCTCTGCCTGCTCCCTACCTTGGCCAGGGGAGCTTTTTCACAACTGAGAGATGGCAGAGTGCTCCAATTTTAGCCCCAAGTCAAAAGTCCCCCTGCCCCATGGGGGGACTCACTGTGTAGCAGGTCTCTCAACTTCTCCAGGCTGCATTTTATGCTCTTCTATAGAACAGAGCTATCAAACCTCCCAGAAACTCTGAGGAAAGAGGCCTTTGAGATGCTTAGAAAACAACTGTTTTAATGACTCGTGCTTGGAATATTGTGCAAAGAAGCCTTTGTAACCCTCCAAGAAGCACCTTTTAAGTTAAAGCACAATAAGAGGGAGAGATTTTACACCAAAATTTTGAAGTTAGAGGTGAAAATTTAAATTTAAAAGATTAAAATTTAAAGAAATCACTCAGGAGGTTAGATCAAATTTTCTTGGTCTTTTTGTTGTTGTTGTTGTTGTTGTGTTTTGTTTTTCCTATTTCTTGCCTACTTGAGGCCAAGTAGAATGGCAAAGAAAAATACCTCTGGTTTTTTTTGTTTTGTTTTGTTTTGTTTTTGTTGCCATTTTTTGTTTATTTCTTTTGGTACTGGGAATTGAAACCAGTTCGCTTTACTGCTCAGCTATATCCCCAGCCCTTTTAATTTTTTTTTATCTTGAGACAGGGTCTCATTAAGTTGCTGAGGCAACCCTTTAACTTGCAATCCTCCTGCCTCAGCCTTCCAAGTTGCTTGGATTATAGGTGTGCACCAGTGTGCCCAGCCTATATTAATTTTTAATCATTTCATCAGCTGTCACTTAAGTAGTGAATGTGGCTTGAACATTTTCATAAATGCTTCCATAACCAGCATTCCAACACATGGACAACACATGGACATGGGACTTAGAGTTTTATATTGCTATGCTTCATTTCTTAAATAAGATATTGCTCAATAATCAAAACTTCCTCACTTAAAAGAAATCCCCCTAGGAATGACAATAGAATAACTATATATTAATTATTCATAGCTTTAACAAAGGTTAAAGGGACATGAAGAGAAGATATCCAGAAGAGATGGGAAGCCAGCTTTTGTAACAATTGTATATGAGATGATTCTTATTCAACTAGTCATATTCTTAAAATCATTCTAAAATGCTCACTGTAAGAGAGTCCTAGACGCACACATGAATAGATACCTAATAACTCTCCATATATATCCAAGAACTCACTTGAAAGGTGTTCTTTTATTATGTGATTTACAACCATCAGTTATTAAAGCAGAGCTGTCAATATCTACTGTGCCTGATGTAAAGCATGAAGTATGAAGAGTTCAGTTTGTGAATTCTCAGAAAAGTTGAAGGAAAGCAAAAGAAATACTGTTCGATTCTGAACTGTGGAAAAACAGGATGGCTTCCTCTGTTCTCAAGCACAATCCTCCTCTATCTTTTCTTACCTCCTCATATTCCCTGGATTAGAAGTGTGTGATGTGGGAGAAAAGTGAAATGAAAACTTTTTTCAGAATCTGCTCTAAGTAGCAGCACAAAGTTTGGGCCATCATTTCAAATTGGATTAGAACTTTGTTCTGAAAGTCTGTTTCCTAACAGGGAGAATTCTTATGTATTGAGGATATATACGCACATCCACTTTTATTTTGTTACTTAGTCAGCAAGGCTCTATTTCACATATGAGAACATTGAGATGGAGAGAGATCGTAGCTCAGCGGTAGAGCATTTGCCTAGCATGTTCGAGGCATTGGGTTTGATCCTCAGCACCAGATAAAAATAAATAAAATAAAAGTATGTAATCCAATACAACTAAATAAATAAATAAATAAATAAATAAATTTTAAAAAAGAGATCAGAAACTTGTCTGAAAGGATATGGCTCAGAAGAAACAAGCTTCATAGTGAGGTCTTCCTCACTCCATTGCTTCATGGGTGATGTGGCTCCTCTGAATTCTACCAATGAATTGATTTTTCCAGACAGTTTGAGAAGAAGAGCTCTTTCATTTGGCTAACTTGATGTTACATAATTGCTTCAGCACTGTCTCACTTCTTCCCACTTTTGACATTTATTGGAGAGATTCAGCATGCCTGTATTGCTCCCTAAAGTTATCCCTTAAATGATGAAAGTTAGAAAAAAGGGGCATGGAAAATGTCCTGGGTCTGGAAGTAAAAACTGCCAAGTGGAGGCCAATGAAGATTCTGATTCAGAAATTAAGACGGAGAGGCTCTCACATAAAGGCCATGCCCTTTAGGAAGATTATAGACATGTGCTGCTCTATTGTAGGGTTGAGCACTTTTTTCTCCTGGTCTTTGTGAGTCTTGGTTATATAAATGGAGAAAACTTCATGATTAGTACTCCATATGTTATTCACAGTTGGGAAAATTCAAGTCAAGGTTTAGTGAATTATGACATGGATTTATACTAATAAATCTATAATGCAAGGCATGAAGCTATTAGTATAAACAAAACCACATCACACTACTGCCTCATCCATCCAGAAATTTCAACACAGAGTGCTCTTTCCAGATTTGTAGTGCTCATGTCTGGAGCTAAGGAGGAAGCTTAGTTCAATAGTCCATCTTCTTACTATGCTCTTCTTTAAATCTCCAAACTCAAGCTTCAAAATCTTTCAGTGAGTCTGTATCCAGCTAAGACCAGAATCCCCATCTTGAAAGTCAGTGTTAAATAAATAGTAACTTAGTACATCCACAATCAAGCAAGTCTTTCTTCCTTGATAGTAGCAAGAGTTATATGCTCAATTATGTGCTTAAATTATTAGATTGAGCCTCTTCTATTCTCCCCTTATTAGAGATCTATTTCATTTTCTTTCTACAACTTCTTTTACTATATTTTCTTTGCAGGGCAATAGTATAAACATAGTTGAAGTCACAAGCATGGTGTTGTATCTGCAGGTAATAATGATTCAGCTAGGGATCAAACCGTAGGGTACAGAAGATAAGAGCAGTGATTTGGGGATAGCAGATCTTAACTTTTGGCCATGTGATTTGGGGCAGGAGATACAGTAAAAGTAATTCCTCTTGAATTAAAAAATAAAAAGGTCTCAATTTCTGGAATTCTGAAATTTAAAAACATAATCTTAGAAGTTGTTCTCTACTGCCAAGATGAAATCTTCTTCCAGGTACCAGAGGTCCAAATCCAAGTGCATGATGTGCTTCATGCTTCTTTAAGATATACTTAAGATTCCAATGGTCATATAAAAAAGTAGGGAGGTACTCCTAATACCTCTCACTCTAGACTTTGTCATTTAACAAATAAAATAAAAGAAAAGAAAGCAAAAGACATCATCTGCATTATAAGGCAGAAATTAGGAAGCAGAATGAATTATTTTAATTTATAAGGTAGAGTGACTTGAAAAGAATGAGTTTCTCCTCTGAATGCATTTGTCTGAATTTGGCTACTACATGAAATATTAGAGACAACTTATGAAAGAAGGACTCTTCCCTATTTTCTGGTCCTAGCATGAGTTTTAGAAGGAGTTTTGCTACAATTTTGGACATCCAAAGACCAAATAATTTAGGGTAGATTATTTAAAGAAGTAAAATAGACATTTTTCATATTTTTTATTCCCTCTTTTCCATATTAGAATTTATTTTTATCAAAATAGTTGTGCACACTACCTCCACTACCATAAGAGAATATTTATAGAGCTGCCTCTGGAGCATAAAATAACTAAATTCCTCTCTTTACGAAAGAAAAGGAGTCAGCTATCAGTCTTCTATCCCTGACAACTCTGCCTATGTCTGGATCTGGAAGAACATCACATCCACTTTCTCTCTGCAGATCTCCTGTCATTTGTGGAATGAGAAATACAATCTTTAAATTTCTAGCTTAATAATTCAAAATATTATTTAGTGAGATCTACTAGATGATCAAGAAACTACAAAACAAACAAAAAAGAAGAAACACATTTGTCTTGAGAAAACACATTCTTTGAAGAAGAAACACATTTGCCCTGAGCAAAAGAACTTCAATCTACACCCTCTGACCCACCACATGAAAAGAAGGCTTTAAGGCAGGAGTAACTTTTCACTGTGACTAGCCATTAGCATGTCAGAGTGTAGTGCTTAGTCATCACACGCATTTTCCATCTGAGAAACCAGGGGAAAAAGAACTGCAAGTCTTAGGAGGAGGAAAAAAAAAATAACAAGGAATGCAATGTGGAGTGGTGTTATATACACCAGCACTACTGTTTCATGCTGCGTTCACAGGACTATTTCAAGCACCATTTCCTCATTCTGCTTTGACTCAAATTCAGTGGCTCTGCAGGCGCCACGTGTTAAATTATACATCTTAATTCAGCCTAGGAAGTGACCTTTGCTGGCACCGCTCAATGTAAAAGCACTTTGTATCCCAGGGAGTCTCCACGTCTCCACATCCTCTTGCAAACTCCAGGCTGCCATTCTCTCTATGACAACACCGCTGCAGTGATTTATTCCTTGCCTCTTTTTTCCAATAAGTAAGTAGATTATTTCACTCTACCCAGATGGAAATATCTGTTGTGCTTCATCATAATGAGAAATGACTGCTTTTTAGGAGATGCTCTCCAAGGTTCATAATATATTTCACATATGTCTAAAGTAAGATCCAAGAATTAGCTGCAGTCATTCTGTCTGCTAACTGTAGATTTCCTAATTGATTCTGGTCTGAAAGGGCCAGTGCAAAGTTTTTTGCTTTTTTTTTTTTTTTTTGCCTGGTCATGGTGAAGTCATACCCTGTGACTTCACTGGAGCCCA